GTAAAGTATTTTTTACCACAAAACTGCTTGTCAGTTAATGAAATAATGTTGCCCTCAGAGAACTGAGGGTTTGGCAGGCTTGCCCGTCTAGATGTGGCATTGCTGAACCAGAAACATTTACTCAACTGTCAAAATGGTCAGAATTGTCTGAATAGAAATCTCCTGCTTACTGTGCCACCAACCTCACAAGGCAAATTAAATTAGATTCTTAACTGTTACTGACATAGTACTAAAGAATTAGTGTAACAGCTAACTGTGCCTTCTGCTTGTCTTTGCTTGCTGCCTACTAGTGATACTGATGTTGAACTTCCTAAAAATGAAATTTCTCTTCACAGCTGATAGGGATTCAGGATGGGTATCTCTCCCTGCTGACAGAAAGTGGCGAAGTTCGTGAGGATCTAAAGCTGCCAGAAGGTGATCTGGGAAAAGAAATCGAAGGAAAATTCAATGCCAATGAAGATGTGCAGGTAAGAATAGAGTAAAGCAGACAAGAAGAGAGATGTTTTAATTATCCTTGCCTGACATCAGAATAAATGTTCTTCATTGTGTAGTTATTTGTATTATTTCATGAAGAAGGGGTTAGAAACATGCGAATTGTTTTTTTGGCAAGTAGGACATCTGTGTTGGGGCACGCAGTATGGCACTGAAACCTGGCTCTGTTGACAGTGAAGTGATTTGAGTCTCAGATATGTCAGGATAAATCCTAATGGTGCCATCTGCATAGTGTAGACTGGAGCTTCCACTCTTTCTTGTGTGGAGCTTTGTGAGATAATCTGGGCTGTAGAAACAGCTTGAAGCTGAGAACGAGTCTTGAGATGCCACGATCTTGCACCACGAAGTGTGACTGGCTGTAACTCCAGGAGCGGTTCCTCTGTGTGGGGTTGGAACTAACCTGTGTGTCTTTTCTTCCAGATATCCGTCATAAGTGCAATGAATGAAGAATGTGCTGTAGCCATAAAGCCTTGCAAATAAAGAGGATCGCCAGGCACGGGCAACTGCTCAGGTCTGGATAAACCACAGATCTTTAAATTTGGTTCTGATTGTCACCAAAGCTCTGGCCTTCACAAGCAACCTCATTTCTTTTTTGAATTGTTACAAAGCAGTGCTGGATTCTGGATTAGTGTTGCAGGCTAACTGGCAGTTTTCAAAATCACTGAGATTTTAATTCCTTAATTGTAACTATTTTAACATTCCTGTGGGTTTCAGCTATGGATCTAAGAAACCGTTCAGGTGTTACTAGTGGATATATTTTTTTATTTGCTTGAGCAAAACAGTGTTTGTCTGTATGAACAGACAAAATACAGTATTCAGGGGCTTTTAGATAAGCTAGTAGGTATCTAGGATTATAAAGTGACCTAGAGCACAAATAGTATTTTTCTTGACATGTTTAGATAGAACTGACAATAAAAGTAGCTTTTTTTTTTTTTTTTTAATCTTAAATATTTTGTGGATTGGGACTCTTGCAGAACTGTAGGTACCAATCACAAATTTTAGACCAAGAAACTCAAGTGATCAAAAATGCCAGCTGGCTTGACCAAGCCCCAGTGGCCATGTGCAACTTAACTGTATTACCTCTGTATTCTTTTTTGCCAACTTGTTGGCTTATTGTAACGTTAAAATGGTGTCAAAGCCTACCTGTGGTTTAGGCAGGCAGTTGAGTTTTGAGTAGATGAGACATAGATAGGTCAAGGTGAGGATGGATGCTAAAGCTATAGACTTTCACTCGAGGCCTTTGTCAGACTTAAAGAAAAAAAAAAAAAGAAAAAAAACACAGTTCAGTTGCTCTCCTTTATTATATTTATCTGAAACTATAAAAGGGTGACAAACTCCGTGGGAATCTGTTGCAGTGCTTCCAGCTTTAGGTTTCAATCTTCGGGTTCAGACCATATTTTTGTAGCGCAATGACCACATGTTTTTTGAAAAGTGGGACAAATTGTAGCATTGAGCCTAAACTAAATGCATGTGTGGTTTTCTTTTTTTTAATAGAACTACTGTCTTTTTAAAACAGACTTGACAAACAATACTGAACAACCATGACTTAACTATAAAAGTAACTAGATAGCTGAAAAAGTTAGCTCCTATCCACAGGAGTTTGGAGACATTGAAACACACATGCATGCCTCTCTAATTATTTAGTAGCTTAATAGGCAAACACAAAGCTTTACAGAACTAGTCATGAAGGGATAACTAGCTAGCTTACTCTTGATTATAGCACTCAACTTGAATTCAGACACTTAAAGACTCTTCATAGGTGGGAAACTTCTTAGCCCATGGCTCAATCTCTCCTCACAGTGGGTAAAACATTTCATGGACTTGCCTTAAGTTTCAGCAGCTATCGGCTGATGTAGGACAACTTGTGAACACCTAGTGTGCTGTGTTAGGCAATCTGCACAATTCAAACTGTTGGCAGTGAGAGTCAGGCTTAACACTGCTGCTTACTGCTTAAAGTGTTTCCAACTTGTACTCTCTAATCCCAGAAGGGCTCATGGCAACTGTCCTGAACTGCCCTTGTACATACTGTGGTAGGGCTTGGCAAATCTTGGAAGTCTAATGTAGTGGGCAAAAGCATGTTCTTTATAGACTTCTCATGATGGAGAGCAGTACAGTGAAGGTAAAGACAGCAATAAATATACTCTGGTAATAAAGCACAGTTACCTGGGACACCTGGCAGAAGTAGGATACTGCTGCATGCTCTTACCTAGTACAGTGCATGTTGCAGGTGAGCTCTCTGAACAGCTCCTTTACAGCTTTCTAAAAGCTGTAGATCCAAACTATTGAAAGGCTTCAGAAGGCATGCCCTTAAAAACCTAACAGTAGAAGCAGCTCCGCGCTACGTCCTTTCCTGCCTCTCCATACCAGTATCTAAGGGACAGGCTTTGTTGGGGTTGAAGATGACTGAAACCATTGATCATAGTCTTAACAGTAAGCTGATCTGGTGTGATCAGCAGCCCAATGGGGAGTCATCATTATGAAAGCTTTCTAAAATGCTTGAAATCTAAAAGACTTGGATTTGTTGTTCTGGTAGGGTTTCAGTCTGCTTTCAGGTGCCTATCAGTCTCCCCAAACCCTTGTTGTAAGACAGGTGTTCGATGCCACTGGCCCACAGACTTAAGTATTTACTAAGACTGTGTAAGTTCTCGAGGACAGGGGCTGTTTCCATCCTGTTTTTACAAGTGGGATCCTGGCCTGACTGAAGTTTTCAGGTACTAAGGCAATCTAAAGATCAAGATTTTATGACCTCCAGCTTGCTGGAAGAACCCTCCTTGGGGCTTAAGGATGTCCTATTGCAACCTTCAGTTCTGCAAGACCTAAATGATTCAGTACTTCAATATAGGTTTGTTCTTATATACTTAGTTGTCTTTTGTGACGTACTTCAAACACAATGGAAGTGCATAGCATTGCCTCGTCATGCATGAAGTTTCCCATAGATAATAATACATAAGCATGAGTCTTAAGCATAATCTCCAAGTTTTAGTAAGGTTGAAAGTTGCTTCTAAATTAGAACACGTCTTTGAGACACTTTTTCCAAGGTAAGATGTTTCAGTCTACTGTCAGAATAATTTGCAACAACTTTGTTATCAGTAGTCCATATAGATGCATATTTTTAAGATCTCCAAGCAAATGCTTAGGAAAATTCCTATTTTGTAGCTTTAGTTTAAAACAAACATCATCTGACTACTTGTTTTGTAGTATTGTCTTTAACACTCTCAAACAAATTGTATCAAAATAGAAAACTAAGCTTCTGATAGCTCATGCAATTGCTTAAAATAAAGGCTGTGATGACTAGGAGGTAAAGACAAGTATTTCCACTCCAAACAATGCATTTTTTTATGGCTCCAATTCATTGAGTTTCTCATACTACTTTACAGAATTGGAAAGACTGCAGTATTTCCTGCCTCAAACGTTGGCACGTAATACTTCAAGATTTCAACAGATCCTTCAACTTGTTGCTTCTAATGGTGGTTTTTCAACTAGGCTCCTGCTAGTTGAGCCATGTTCTCAGGGCTGTTGTTTTTTTTTTTTTTAAGAAGTTAGCTGAATTTCATTGTTTTTATGTAACTGCTTTCAAGCCTCTCGCAGGTTTTTCTAACCCATGATGTACTCAGAAACGATGCACAGTCTGTAGCTTCACAATACAGGTAATTTTACAGAATCTGTAAAGAAGTCAAACTTGTTGACAGTTGAAACTCTTATGGTTACTGCAGGTCAGTCTTACAGAATTCAGAATTCAATAAATCCCACTTTTTTTTTTTTTTTTTTGCTTGAGTGATTAGAATGTAGTTTGTTACGGTAGAATTAAATGTCAGGATCAGATGACCTTAAGGCTATATTGCATATCTCACACACAAGTTACCGAAGGCACTGAGCTCTGGTGCCTATGGGAGTAACTTCTGTGAGCCGAGAGCTGCTGTGTTGGTCTGAATGTTGGCTCTGTGTCACTGGAAGCCCCATTCCCTGTGTGGGGAAGCCTCATTCCCCTCAGAGCTGTGCCCCGAGGCAGCTGCAGGCCCGGGGCTGTCTGTGTGTTTGAGAAGGCGCCTTGCTGTTTTACACCACACCCACAATGAGGTGAAAGCGGTCGCTGTGTGCTTTGCTCCAGAAATAATCAAGATCTCAGTGCTGGGGGGCAGGGGGGCGATGCTTGGGGTGACGGGGCTGCTGGGGGGATGTGGGCCGGTGGTCCTGTGGGGTGGTTTGGGCCTCCTGTAGCTTTGCAGTCAGCGCTCGCTCTGTGCCTGCGGGCCAACCCCGTGCTTTCCGAACGAGGAACACTTTAACGCTAGAGAAGCTCGGCCTAGAATTGTACGAGAAAAAGAGAGAATTGCTTTCGTTCCTAATGATTATTAATTAGAGTAAATAAAGAGGTGACTCGCTCCGCTGCCGCCTACGACTCGTCCTTGGGGGAAGGCGGGAGGGACAACGCCTGAGGGAGCCGCGGCCCCGCCCGCCATCCCGACACCCTCTGGCCGCGCCGCTCCGCCTCGCGCGTGCGTCATGACGTCACACGTACGCATGCGTCACGACGTCACGGCCGGCTATAAGAGCGCGGCGTGCGCCCGGCCGCTTCCTTTCTGCGAGCGCGTCGCGGCGGCAGCATGGGGCCGGTGAGTGCGGGCGGAGGCCAATGGCCGGGCAGCCGCGGCGGGCGGGGAGCGGCCCCGTGCCGGGGAGGAGCCGGCTGCAGCGGGGCCGTCGTCCGGGTGACGGTGCGGCTCCCCCTGCTTTCTTGTGGCGCTGAGGGGCGGGAGGTGGCCGGGCGAACAGCCTCTTGTGGAGCGGAGCTGACGCTGGTGTCGTTGCCGTTTCGTTTTTAGCAAAAAGATAGGAAATCTAAGAAGGCGACGTGGAAGTTTTGCCTCGACCTGACTCATCCTGTTGAAGATGGAATCTTTGATTCCGGGAACTTTGTAAGTGGTGGCCGCGTTCGTGCTGGTAGCGCTTCGTGCGGTACGGCAGCCTTTGATAAACCAGAATGTAAATAACGTCAGCTGCTTTTTAATTCGACAGCAGTTACTGAACGTTTCCTGGGCTTAAGTACCTCGTATAGGTGATAAGATGGGTGCCCTGTCCCTGCCTAGCGCAGGCTGGTAGCGCCCCATGGAGCTGCGGGTGTTCCTGCTCACTGCAGGGCCATCTGGCCTTCAAAGGCCCTTCCCAGCTCAAACACTTCTGTGATTGTGTCACTTTTTAATTACTTGCATGCTGGGAAGCCTTACAGCATTGCAGATGCTTACTCGTGGCAATGAGTGGTATTTAATATTACTCCATGACTAGGGTCCCTTCCCTAGTTCATACCTAGGGTGCCCTTCCCTAGTGTTCTGTTTCTTCTCTGATGTCAAAACAGGAGCAGTTCCTAAAGGAGAAGGTTAAGGTCAATGGAAAAACTGGAAACTTGGGGAACACTGTTCACATTGAACGTTTGAAGAACAAAATCACAGTGACATCTGAGAAGCAGTTTTCTAAAAGGTCTGAGTGGATTTCTTTTTGTTGTATTTACAGAGTAGTGGGATTTGAAAAGTGATAAGTACATTGAATATGGCAGATTTAATACATATTAGCAAATAGCTAATATTTCATAGTGCGTGTTAATATTAGCAAAATATACAATTCAAACAGATTTACAGGATTAGATATTAAAAAAAAACCCATCTTCTTAAAGGACAAGTCTTAAACCACAAATTAATGTTTCTTCTAATACAGATATGGTAATACAGAAATGTTTATGTAGCTTGTTGGAAATATGCTTTTTAAAATTACAGCTGAATTCATATCACGAGTGGCTGTTTTATTACTTAAATAGTTATATTAAAATATGTGTGTACACGGTATGTGTTGTGGCAAGAGACCCCCTTAAGCCAACTGAAGCTTTCCAACAGTTAGTTTGTTGTAGCATGCAGCAGATCAGTGCATTGAGCTGGGTACAGTTCCTTCCCCACCCCTTCTTTCACTTTTCTGATACAGGTTTGCCAATATCTGTTGTGTAAGAACAAGGTTAAGAGCAGAGAGAAGTGGTTCTGGAGGTACTGGCAACGAGCTATGTAGTCAAGAAGCATTAAATAAGGTCTTTTATATATATGAGGAATTAAAATGTAGGCTTGTTATCTGCTACACACAATAATTTGTGATTTCTTGCTGTAATTAATGCATTAAGTGGAATCACCCCTTGGAAAATTCAGCACATAAAGGTTACACCGTTCCCCCTGTTAGAGCCATGGCACAAGTGGAGTACAGACATTAGTAAGGAATGTTAAATGGCAAAAATTCTAATGTATAATTATTGTTTTTAAGGTACCTAAAATATCTCACCAAGAAGTACCTCAAGAAGAACAATCTTCGTGACTGGCTTCGTGTTGTTGCATCTGACAAAGAGACGTATGAACTACGCTACTTCCAGATCAGTCAAGATGAAGAAGGATCAGACTCTGAAGAGTAATAGAAGCTTAGCTTCATGCTCAATACAGCGTACAAAAGGAACATCTATTTATGAGAACACTTAACTTATTGGTGAATAAAGATTTTGTACTCTGTTTGACAGAGCGTGGTTAGTTTTCAAGCTCTTTTTTTTTTCCTCTTAAATTGTAATTAATGTAATTAATAGAGAATCATTTGATTTGCATTTTTATTTGTGTTGCTAGAAATTGAAGCTGTTCAACATGACATCAGTGAAAGGCCAGGTAGGAAAGCAGAACTAAGCCCTTCACCCAGCAAAATTCTGGGACTTTTACAGTGCTAAATGGTGTACTCAGGCTGCATGAAGGCAGCTGCTTCCTTTGGAACAGCCACATAGAGTGGGTTTTAAGCCAGAATTGGGTATTTAGAGGGAGTTAACACTGTGGATTCTGCTATGCTAGTTTATAACAGGGATGCATGAAGGCTGCAACACTGAGATTTTTTGCCTGAAGAAAGCTGCTAGTTTAAGCTGAAACACTTCCTTATGGATTTCTGATTATTTATTTCAGAACTGCTTTTGCTGGCAAGTTTTATGACAGACTTGAGAGTTGCACTTGAGAGTTGCCAAAGCACAAAGCAGTGCTTTACCAGCCACAACACCCTCTTGTGCTACCTAAATCTAAGCAAAAAGTGCAGAGGGGATGATAAATGAGACCCCAGAGCACATGGAAGTTTGTCACTTGTTTTCCAATTTGTTTGAACAGCTGTTCTTAACAGGAGATAAGAGGATGCAGCAATTGAACAGCTGCTTGAGTAATTGCTGCTCTGCCCATTTGTTTCATTTTTCTAGCAGAGGTAAAGGAGCCAGCCTGCTGCTTTGGATTTTATTTATGAAAGATGGTTATGGTCAGAAAATGCCACAAGCTGGCGTGTCCCAAGGCTGCCAGCTGCCAGACACTGCTCTCTCTCAAGGTTTGTGTTGAGTAGATGCAAACCTAAAACTGGATCAGTGTGTGACAGCATGAGTAGCTGCCCTTGAGCTGCAGAGCAAGCAGCTGGGAGCCATTTCCCCTGAGCACCTGATCCTCTGCTGATTTTCAAGCAGCAGCCTTAGGTGCCTATGTGTTGTTTTTTTTTTTTTTCTGCTGGAAATCCAAAGGGCAGCTAACACTTACGAAAGGTGGTTAGAGGATTGAAAGTTCATGCTGCATTCAACAAGCAGTGTGTTCTTTGTATCAAGCTACAAGAATTAGGGGAAAAAAAAAAAAAAACCACATAAAATAACTATTTGCAGCAGTTAAGCAAAAAAAAGAAAAAAAAAAACTGTGACTGAGTTGTATTTCAAAAATACATCTCCATCTATTTCTTTTTTTTATTGCCCTTTTATATGGCAGTGCATCCTTTAAAGGAAGCTGACACAACAAAATTATCCTGATTAAATGTAACAACCAGAAACAAAATCAAGAAGTCAATAGGGCTGTGCTACCTTGTTATCTCTGTCTTCCTTTTAATGCAGTGTCATGTGTTGTTACACAGCCTAACAGACAGCATCATTCAACAAGAGTGGGGAAACAAGGGCCTCATGAGATTTCAGCAAAGCACAGCTGGATTTGGAGGAAAAGTGCTCTGCCATGTGAGTGGCAGTGCTCTCAGGGCTTAGCTGGAGCAAGGATGGAGCCCAGGAAGCCCATTCCTTCCATGGGCTTCACAGGAAGAAATAACTGCAACACACAGACAAGAACATCAGAAAAACCTGAACAATTGGTGTTTTTTCATAACATCAACCATTTCATAGCAACAGAGCTGGGGTAATGCAGGTGGGGGTGGAAATCAGCCAGTCCTTGTTTACATTAGGAAATTAATTAAATTATCCAGATAAGAATCACATGGACCTTTTGGGTCAGTTTTTTTCCCCCCCTTTCTGTTTATTTTTTTAAAACCCACAGCTTAATCCTGGGAGCAGAACAGCATGCTAAGTTTTATATTTAGTTTAAATTAAACATACATATAAATACATAGGCTACATAACCATATGCTTATATAATATATATATTATTTTTACTTCCATTTCTTTCTCAGTAGACGTATCTCTGCTCTCATTTCTCTACAAGCATTTCTGCTAGGCTTCTCCAAATAAAATTGGTTTAGGACAGACCTCCCACACATGGAGGATTTTGATGTCTGGCAAATAAAGAAAATAATGAAGTGCTTTTTCTTAGACAACAAGCTCAGCAGCTGTTACCACAGCAGCAGTAGCAGATCTGCATCAGCTATTTGTTGTGAGCATACGGAGAGCTTTTTCTGTACCACCAGTTTCTCTCATCTCTAGTGCAGCAGAACCTCACTGACTGCTATTAAAAAATAAAACCAAAACCACAAGCTTTCTGCCTGCTTGCTCCCTAGGCTTAAAACTACCAGAAATCAGCTTTATCATACAACCAACATCAGGAATAGAGAGCAAACTACTGGCAGGAAATACCTGGAGAGGTGCTGGGGCACTGCTGTGTATCACAGAGCCATTTGGCATATCAGAGGTGGCACAGCCTCAGCATATTCCCACAGCATCAGCACAAAGTAATTAGGAACAGAGAGACCCATGGAAAAATAAATAAGAATAGCTTCAGTGTCCCAGAGGCAGGAAATGAATGCATGAAGGGAGCGATCTGATTACACCAAATATGGACAAAATAGGGATAAAATGTTGTTTCTTTTAGAGACAAAACAAAAGAAACCTCATCAGCTGGATGGGATGGGGCTGAATGTCTCCCTGTGCTGCTGCACCAAGCCTCCTCCTTACTCATATCCTCACCACTATTAATTGTCATTATTCATATTCCCAGCATAGACTCCCCACTAAGGGCAATGACCCTGCAGGCCTTTGGGATGCTCTGAGTTGCTGGTGCCCAAGCCAGGAACCAGGCTGGCACAGGGAGGAAAGGCAGCATGGAGCAATGGATGCCCTGAGAGCAGCTGGCTGAAATCCTTCCCTCTTTGACACAGAAGGGTGAGTGCACTCCTCCAGCACGCAGCCCCACTGCCAGCATGGATAAGGATGGCTCTGAAGTCCCTGTTCCCAAAGCTGTAACATTTTCCTGCAAAAATGCATTCATCCATCCTCCCTCCTGCTCATGTAGAAAATATTTACGCTGCCAGGAGATAAGGAGCTCAGAGTTCAGGATGGTTTTTGCTGACAATGTGGGCTGGGAGCTGCAGAGCTTCCAGGTTTGTCCCAAAACCTTAACACTCTGGGGCTCTTTTCCCAAACCTGCTCCAGGATCAGCCCAAACCAAGGGCATTTTCAAACAAAGGGGAAATTGCACGATCCTGAGGATTGAAGGTTTGAGCAAGGGATGTAGGAAAACAGCTGTGTGGGAGCTGACACAGGTCCTTGACCCAGGAACACCCCGGGAGTGGCAGGGACAGGAGAAAGGGTTGCTGTCTGTATGTCACAGCTCTTTGTGGATTTCTCCCCTGCCATATGTGTGATCCAACTATTTCTCCAAACACCACTTACTGTCAGTCTTGCAGTTCTTTAAATCAGCTGTATATCTGCAAAGCTAGCAGGAGATGGAGCCAAACCAACCACTGTGTGCTTTGGCAAGCTCAGGGAAGCTGAAAGAAATACTTCAGCAATGATGGCATAAAGGCAGCAGGCACAGCTGCTTACCCAGGTTTGCAGCACCCCTGTGACTGTGCAATATCCTCTGATTTTACATTTTCCTGGGTAGTTTTCATAGTAAGCTCTAATAAAGGTGATGGTAGAAGCACACACATCCACCTGTACTTTCATTTTCCTTCTCTGCTCCTATTTTGAAGAAATTGCATAGATTTCACCCTTTAGGTAATATTATCAATCCCTTAAAGCCCAAATATTGAAGTTAAAATGCTTCAAGACCCAACTATTGAAGAGACTGCACTCAGATTTTACTTAACTACTGATGCAGAGATAACAGCAGAATGAAAATGATGGGACAGCGAGAAGCAGAGCTAAGATGCAAGCCAGTATTTTGACCCCAGGATGCTGTTACACCACTGGTGTGGGAGGAACCACAAATACTTTGTGTCAAGCCCTTAATCAATGGAGTCACAGGGAAGAGATGAGACATGGTGAAGTGAGATCCTACATGATTCAGGGCCTGAGTAAAGTGCTCACTGAGGGTGAGCCGAGGGGATGCTCTGTCAGCTGAAGTGGCAGCATTTGGAGGCAGCTACTCTGGAAAAGGGAGAACCAGCAGCAAGTGAGAGATCTCCAGGATCAGGATCTGAGGAATTATCCCTACAGGTTATTGCTTTGCTGATTCACTAAAATCAAATCATTCTTTGGAAACTTCCCACCCCAGAAACTTCACACCCCTGAGAAGTGTTTTCATGAGCCGAAGTTTCTTTGAGTTAGGGAAGAGAAACACCAGCTTTTGTTTAACTGTAGGGATATTTAAAATACCACTATGAGCTTAAGTTGGAGAACTCTGTCCCTACAAACACTTCCCAAGACCTACCCTGGCAAGGTCCATGTGACACCCATACTGCTCTAGATACACCATCTTCCCATCTGTGCTCGCACACAGGTTTTGTTGCTAGAACCATACTACATTAGATCTATTTCTCTAAATGGTCACCACTGAAGGAGGTGATTATGCCACTCTCCTTTGATCCTGAATCCTAAGGGCCAGAATAAGTGAAAGATGGCTGATCACCCAGCAAAGTGCCTTTCCTCATGACCAGCACAGTGAGGATGGATGCATTAACACGTACAAACAAAAACACACAGTGGGTTGAGAAGCACTGCCCTGATGAGGGAAAATTGACTGTAATTTGTTTTGCAAGCACTTAGCAAAAGAAGAACTGAAAGAAGTGGGGAAGAAGCAAAATAACATGAAAATTGTCCTTGCCAGCCTCAAAACATGCCCTTTTAACACATTTAGAGCAGACCCTGAATCCGAAGTGACCAGAGACACAGCAACATGCCTGCACTTCTCATCTCTCCTCCCAGCCATGGTGTATAATGCTATAACAGGATGGAAAGTACCAGGATAACAGAGGGGTGGCAAAGTCTTGGCTGCAACAAATGTGAACAAGCCCAAATGCAGCATCCTTGGATGCAGAAATGAAGGAAAAAAAGCTGCTTACCTTTGGAAGGCCTCAGGTATG